ATCCTCTAGACGGAAAGCAACCCTGCCAAACTGTGACACTGGTCTGGTGAGACTCATTTCAGGTACTAATGGAAGATTAGGAACAAAATTAGAACTCTGCCAAATGTTTGAATGCCCAAGTGTGGTTTGATTAATAGAGGAAATTCTGTTTTCCTCTCCTCACATTCTCCCACAGTATTTGCCTTTAAGGAACACACAAACTACAGGGTGATATGGAAAAATGAACAGGCAATTACAATCATGTTTCTATGAGGAAAATACAGTGTTACTAAAAAGTATATGAGGGACACATAAGCCCAACTTGGGGAGCTCAAAGATTTCCTAAATGAAATGGCCATTGTATTAATCTGTTTCCCAGAGAAACTGAACCAATAAGAGTGAGGAGTGTGTGTGTGTGTGTGTGTACATATATGATTTATTATAAGGAATTGGCTCATGCAGTTAAAGAGGCTGAGAAGTCCCAAGATCTGCAGTTGGCAAGCTGGAGACCTGGAAGGCCCAATGGTGTGAATTCCAGTCTGCGTCTGAGTCCCAAGGCAGAAGATCAATGATTGTCTCAGCTCAAGCAGTTAGGCAGAGAGCAAATTCTCTCTTCCTCTACCTTTTCGTTCTATTCAGGCCTTTAATGGATTAGATGAGGCCCACACTGGGAGAGGGCAATCTGCGTTACTCGGTCTACGGATTCAAATATTAATTCTATCCAGAACACCTCATGAACAAACCCAGAATCATGTTTGACCAAAGATATGAGTATCCTATGCTCCAGTCTAATCGACACATAAAATTAACCATCACAGACACTCAGGTGTGATCTGAAACATTAGTTTGTGTAGCATCATATCCCAGAGCCTGGTCTGATGAATATAACATGGAACATTTTTCAGTTGTTGAAAAGAACAAAGCAGGTTCTGACAGGGAAAGATCTCTAATGTATACCAGTGAACCAGGCAATTCTCAGAATAATTACATATTACATCATCCCTTTTTTGTAGAAAAGAAAAAGAGAGATATTTGTAAATGTGTATATGTATATTCAAAGCACAGAAAGGAGATGTGAAGTGTTCAGCAATAATTGACAATGATTGTTTCTGGGAAGAGGTGAATGGAAGGGAAAGATACAGGAGAAAAAATTTGAATGTGTTACCAGTGGATGTGTATGCATAGAAAAGGAGATGGCAGATCACTCACAGAAGTGCTAAGAAAAGAATTTTTGAGTGGATAGGATTCTTTTGGGAACTTTTATGTTCTTTTCATTTCTCTGCATTTTCTTTCTTTCTTAGGCTTTTATATTTATAAAGGTTTTATCTACCTTTAAAAGGTAATACATGACATGATCTGAAATTCAAGGGGCACAAGAAGATACCCAGGGAAAGTCCTCTCTCACAGCTCCTCTCATAGCTTCCAGTGCCAATCCCAGAAGGCATTGCACTGTGGCCAGTTTTCTGATTTGTCCTCCAAGGGATAGTTTAAGGATCTTCTTACCTATTTTTTTTTAAGAATTTTATTTATTTATTTGACAGAGAGAGACACAGCGAGAGAGGGAACACAAGCAGGGGGAGAGGGAGAAGAAAGCTTCCTGCAGAGCAGGGAGCCCGATGCGGGGCTTGATCCCAGGACCCTGGGATCATGACCTGAGCCGAAGGCAGACGCTTAACCGACTGAGCCGCCCAGGAGCCCCTCTAGCCACTAATACTCTATTACCATAGTTGTGCTGTTGGGTATTTGTTTATAATTCTCAGGTGGATTTGCATAATTTACCTTAAAAACCTGTGATTATAACTTTAAGAAATATCTAAATAAATCAGATTAAAACTCCTCCATGTGGGGGCGCCTGGGTGGCTGAGTCGGTTAAGCATCTGCCTTTGGCTCAGGTCATGATTCCAGGGTCTGAGATCCAGCCCTGAGCCCTGTGTCCTTAGCTCCATGGTCAGCGGGGAGCCTGCTTCTCCCTCTCCCTCTGCTTGTGCTCTCTCTCTGTCTCAAATAAATAAATAAAATCTTAAAAAAGGGGGGCGGGGCACCTGGGTGGCTCAGTCATTGGGCGTCTGCCTTCGGCTAGGGTCATGATCCCAGGGTCCTGGGATCGAGCCCTGCATTGGGCTCCCTGCTCTGCCGGAGGCCTGCTTCTCCCTCTCCCACTCCCCGTGCTTGTGTTCCCTCTCTCTCTGTGTCTCTCTCTGTCAAATAAATAAATAAAATCTTAAAAAAAAAAGGACTGCCAGATTACTCCACATTGTCAAGAAACAGCTCTCTATTGGGAAACAGCTCAGGTCTTCCCATAACAGGATGATTTCGGCTCTTTCCTCTTTGAACTTTGCTCAGAGAGTCTTTAGTCGGCAAACGGGTCTTATTTCACACATACCTCTTAGGGAGCTTTGATTTTAAAGATAACTTGAAAAAATAAGGTACCAGGTGTGTTTTTAGTCCCACATCACACTGTGCATCAAATTAGTTTCAATGTGTGGGACTTTGAAATGCTTTAAAATTACCATAACTAGGGCGCCTGGGTGGCTCAGTCGGTTGAGCGACTGCCTTCGGCTCAGGTCATGATCCCAGGGTCCTGGGATCGAGTCCC